ATTCGTTGAGTTTGTCAGTATCAAGAAAGAAGTCTGTATTGGACCTGTGTAATGCTGTTTCCCCAGTTGTCTAGTGCTTCTTTAGTTTCAGTTCCATTTTGACAGCTATCAGCTAATGGTGATCTGAAGTTATGTTAACTCCTCTCCTGGTTCTCACCTCTTCTATTGACCTTATGAATTTTTCAGTGATACAGATGTGATATAACTGGTTCCGTTTGGTGTGGTCCGGTGAGGTCTATGTAGCTTTGTGTATGCGATTGTGTGAAAATATTGTGCCTCCATAACCAATTTGTTGAATCCAGATAGATTTGCAAAGCTCTCCCCATTCTCGTCCATATCTCCTAGTCGAGTCGTCACATGATATCTTCATACCCGATGTTGTCTATTCTGACTTTGACGTTTAGGTTTCTCTTCAAGATGTTCAGGTCTTTTCCTGACCACTTCTCTGTGACTGATTGCAGCATTTTTTTCGTGAGCAGAGTAGAACAGCATTTCTCCTGAATTTATCCTTTTCTTTCCAGATCGAGTTCAATGGACTTCAGTGACTCTGAGAACATTCAAGTTGTATCTTCTCATTTCCGTAGCCATTTAACTGGTCCTTTCGGTCTCCCATATTGTCTGAACATTCCATGTATCTGTATTAATTGTTGCTGTGGTTATTAGAAGGAGCATGCTCCTCATGACCTCCAAAGAAACTCAGCTTTCACCATGAGGCGTCATAGTTCTACTGAATGAAGATCCTTCAACTCGGAGGGCAGAATTTAGATTGTTTATTCTGGTTAGCTTTGTTAGTAAGGTTGTTTCCTACGGGTTGGTGTTGCTGACCGCATTCCCAACCCTCCTCCTTTGTGTGGGCTTGGGACCGGCAGTAACCCTAGAATAGCTAAAGGTTGAGTTTTACAATAGGATCTTTTAAACGATGTGCTATTTTCTCTTTTCTTCGATAGTAGGCCGATAATTAACTACCTTTCTGAAAGATTGGTGCCCAGTTACAGTCAATAAAATATCTGGTCATATAATATTTGACCAGATTCACTTCCTAGTCGTTCACTTCGAGGTATTACATATGACTTCTCTATGAAACAAATGAAGACATGAAATTTTACGTCCTTTTCTTAGGCTAGTCATTACTATGTAAATGTTTATCATTTCTAAACTTTTCAGTGTTTCCATAAATACACCGAATCAAACTAAAACAATTTAATCCAAAGTTAAATATTATTTACTGGTCATTTGCTGCTAATGATCCATCATTTTTACAAAAATGATCGTTTGAAAAGGTCATTACTGAACCTCAGAAATTAATTATAAGCGTAGATTATTGATTAAATTATTCTATAGCAACTTCAAACTGGTAATAAAATACTGGCACTCGTAATAATGATAAAGATGACATTATTTTCTTTTTTTCCACTTGAATCTCATTTATTCAATTGACCTTATGGGGACGAGTTTTCGTATATTCTTTAGCCTGGTAAACACTATCACACCTAAAATATCATTAATAAACTGATTCAGAGAACTGGACTGCACAAATACTGAAAACTTTGCCAGAAATGATTTGTTTTTTAATGTTATTCAAAAACCCGGGCAATATATTTCTAGTCATCAGATGTATTACAAAGAATGTTATGTACGCAGGAAAAATTAATTTACCTATTAATTTAAAAGAACTGAAACTATCATCTTAGGAATTGAGTTACTTGGAACAAACATTCATTACAGTTTTTATACAAAGATAAGAGGCTCATTATTTATTATTGAGCAACTCAGAAATTCATTCAACCACTGACTGATCCTCATTGACTTAAGTTACTGCTACATATATACATCTCCATTTCATTTTCATTGTATTATCAGTATATTCTTTTAAGTGATTAGATAGGCAAAGATTAAGTCTCTTACAACTTTCATTAGAGCATATAACCCTTAAACACTTCAGAAATATTATAAATCTATACAGTAAACTAAAGCTTATAACTGAAGGCTAAAAATGTTTTATGATTTTATATTGATGACATTGACGATATCTGGGTGCACATAAAAAGTAATATTCCCGAACCTTATGTACCCTTGTGGTAAAAGCAGATGTTCTTCACAGGTATATGTATGTATCACTTATAAATGATATGATTCATCGCATATACATGTACGTATATGTCATTTACAACTGATTTTGCTTCTACGAATTTCATCCCACAGGATAAACAGTTAACAACGTAGAAAAACTATTATTTGGTATGGCCAAAAACAATAACTGTTACATTTTACAGTCTTTTTTTAATCAGCTAGTATAAAACATAACAGTAGTTCTCAATAATAAATATATTTTTGTCAGATCCCAATGACCATAAAATTGGGATATAACAAAAAAATATATTTACCACTAACTTTCTACCTAATGTCCAAATTATTTGAAACTACCAAGTCCAACCTTGGCAATGATACCTATAAACTCAGTAATTTTTAAGATAACTAGTCGTCAAACTGGTGGCGTGAATTTATCTTCTGCAAACAATTGGAACTAATGCAATCGAAATTACCAAGGTAAGCCTTCAAAAAATGTCTGTTATTGTGTTTGTCTTTCTAGGTTTTTAAATTTTCTGTCTTACGTTTATGGTGTATAGAGCTATAACCAGCTATAATTCTAAGATATCTAGCTATTTGTTTAAAATTAGATCTTCTCAATAACATAGATCATTTATTTTCTATATAAGTTTTCCGATTCCATAGGCCGTATATACTATATTTTCCAAGGTTTTATCACTCTAGAATTGAATGAAAATATCCATAATAAATAGTGATGATGGGCTCTTGAAAATGTTTTAAAACACATCTACTAGTCTTCAATTATTAGGTTGTTTTGCTTGCTTAAGTTTAAAATAGTAAGTGAACCTATATCAATGATCCCCACCATCACAGAACAAATCTTTGTGAGTAATACAAATGATTTGCACGTTTCTCGGAATCTCTCTTGGACAAATCACATGTTTAAAAACCTTACGAATCAAACATATTACGTGAAAGATTGTAGAAATTTTTAGCAATAATGTATTTTTGTTTTTAACGCTACTAGTTTATTAGGCTAACGGATATATATTTTTGAAAACTCTTCTTGACTTACCGAATCATCATTAATTTAAAAACGATATGAATAATCTCTACATGAACCATGAAAAGCTTATTTTAATATGAAGTCATTTGCACAAATCCGTATTTTTCGAATATTTATAAGGTGCTTCATTTTAATCATATTTCAGTGCTATATTGTTAAAATTATTTAATTGACAAGGAAAACCAATTTCGTATGCCCAGTATTTGAACAAAACATTTTTCTATTATAATCAATCATTATGTATTCAAGGAATGCAATTTATCTACCTCAAAGATAAGTAAATGTTATAAGGAGATGCTCATATTCTGTAGATAAAGTAATTCATATTTCCAAAATAATTTTTCATATCAGCAGATATTAATATTTGAGACTTGATGGTACCTCCAATCCATTCAACGTGAGTATCAGCCCATCTTTCTATCTCAGCAACACATTACCAAAACACATCTGTGGCTCAAGTTCAATAATACAGTCGATACCGAATTTGTCCAGTAGCAAGAAGTGGTAGAAGACGAAAAATACAGAGTTCGAGCACTTCCTCCGTATATGTATGGGCCATCCTCTGACTGCTTTCTTAGCAAATCTGATATCTCATTTCACTACTTAGAAACTATCTTTGCACTCAATAATGTGGGTTTTGTCCATATCAACTTTAGGATTTTCATTAACAATTAATTCCCTTATATTTACTCATGCATAGGGTAATACTCATCATTTTTATGCTAATAATTTTTGAATAAACCTTGGTCTAATATTTGTCTCTGATTATTTCGTTTTACAAGCAGTCAAGAATAAAACATACTTGAACTGAATCTTTATTTAATTAGTTGTATAGATATTGACTATTTATTCGACACTAAACATCAAAATTAAACTTTCCCTTCTTGTTCTTCTGCTGTAAGATGTTTCATTTTCTTTTTTTCAGCTACATGGTCTGAATACTTTTATTTATGGTTTCATATAAATAGCTTGGTACTTAATCAGTAGTCTTTATGCAGTAAAAGTGGACACAACTCGGAAGCTGATATAACTGCTCATTTTAAAGGTATGCATTTCATGAAAACTTTCGACACGATAAAGTATTCTCCCTCCTCTCAATAACACTTGAGCTCACCTGATGACAGCCAAGTAAAACAAAGGACGTTATGTAATTGCCATCTCATTCTAACTTAATTAAACGCATGATGATATGTAGTTTAATGAAACTAATTCGAGTTTCTGGAGTTTACAAACAATCACCCGTATTCTATGTTATTTCATTAATGCAAACTTGTTGATTTATATGTGCATATGTTTAAAATACGCATCATTTAAGGAGTTAACTGAACTAACAATGGAGGATGGACTGACATTAGAGAAGTTGACTTATTGAAAGGTTTTTAAATATTATAGCATATATCCAATTAAAACTTGTTGAGATGTCGAAGGCAAGGTGCTGTTTGGTCGCAACTATGAATTCAAATAAATTAAGCGATAAAGCACACTACTACATCACGTTTCTGAAATGTGAGATAAAAAGTAATCTGAAACAGTTATTCATCTTAGCTTCATTTTTCTTATAATAATAAGAAAAGCCTAACCCTGAAGAGCCAAACTTTTAGCAAGCTTTCGTGATACTCACAAAACTAGCGGCCCTGAATAGCATAAAAAGCAGTCCTTTGAACTCTTCGAGGACTAATCAATTTTAGTATTATTATAATTTTAATTTGCTGGTACAATCTAGCGTACTTAGTTTAAGTACATAGACCAGTGCCACTGGGTTGTTTAACGTGGAAAAGATATGATGAATACAAGTGATCTTTATGTTTTGCTCTATACAGTGCGTTCACAGGCGACCTGCTTTTCATTATAAGTAGATAGTATGTACAGAGAGATTTGTTAATTAATTATTTCACAGGTTTTAATCCTCGCGAGCTGATAAGCACATAAAGAAAATATTTTTATCTGAGTTATTATTTACTTGGCTCATTTTACAAATAAATTTCTCACAGGCATTAAATGAACATCCTATTATGTTGTTTTTTATGTATTTCTCAATGCCTTCTCTCAAGATCAAGAAGCAGCTACTTTTTGTTGAACTGGAAGATACAATTTGAACTCTGGGGGTAGCTCGCTTTCTGAATACAACCGATCACAAAAGTAGACTCTGCGTATGCGACAGTTGGCATGAATCTAAAATACGAAAACCACTATATTTATATCTTTATAAACATAGACATTTTAGAGCAAACAAATTTGACATCAATGATAAGTTTATTGCAGCCAGCTACAAGACCCCTCAACGAGTACTTAAATGTCAGCATAATCAACAGTTTAAGAAGTTGAATGATATTACTGAAGTCTGCTAACAAAAAATAAACTTAGACTCCATCTCCCCTCACGATATGGAAGCCTCCTGTCATTCAATATCTTTCACACTATATGTTTATCGTTTTTATTGTTTTTCATGTTTATTTAATACCCAGTCTTCGACAATACTAGCATGAAACTTGTTAAGCCTTGTATTAATGACGTTCATCTGTAAAGCCTCACTTTATTCTATCAATACCACTGACACCAATAATTAATACAACACAACTCAAAGTGGATTCCAATTACTATTCGCCAGAGATGGCATATTCTGCCAAAAAGATCCATATATATAAAGAAGAGCTATAAGTAAATAAAAAGTATCGTCATTTAGATTATTTGTCTATTCTGTGTCGGGAAAGCGACAATTTAGTAAAACTTTAATATCTTGGTATTCAAGAATAGTGACGACTTTATAAAGTACAATCCTTTGAGCTTATTTCCAAACTCATAATAACATATTACTTTCATTATGAATCTTTGTAGTGTTGATTGATTTCCCAGAGTGATCCGACAACACTGTTTGCATGATATATCCAGTATGAACTTAGCTTCTTTACTATTCAAAGATTCTAAATGACAGCTTCTGAAATTGGGGTAATTTGAACTTCAGTAATCTCATAGTTTAGCACCATAAATTCACTTGTTAACAAATCCAAACAGACCCTTAGTCGTACGATGCAAAAAAGGAAACATCAATATCAATCAAATATAACTACTAATTGATAATATCTTACTATTTTGAACTTCATATTAGAAAGATACTTGTTGAAAAAGTCTGCCTTCTTTCTACATCCAGGAATAAACCGGCATAAGAGGACGACAAAAGTAATATAACTGTACTTAAACGTCATCAGCTACCAACTGATGTGTACTGAACCTGTTGATGATGATATGAAGCACAATACATATGTGTTAGCGATACGCTTGTGCTGATCCGAGAAAAACTGGGGTATACTTTATTATTTTTTATAAATTAAATTTTAAATAAATTAGCTCGATCAGTTAGCAAAAATAACCTAAACCAAAAATAACTCCTGTCAAAGTTATCCATTAGCGCAGACTATAATGAAATTGGAGAATTACCTCAAACTGCGTTTAGCGAGTCTGTTTAGCAAATGGGCAAACTATTCGTTCATCAGGTCACTTGATCAAGCTTGGAAGTATCTTTAGACAAGTTACTAGAGATTGTAATTGGCTAAAAACAATAATAGCAGCTGCAGATGAGCTATTATTTTGTGTCAAAAAATGATACTAAGATCATCCAACACCGCAAAACGCATAGTATTAGAGATACAATGAGCAAACTTTTAAACACTAATACATTATGTTGGCACTTAACAACGATTATATATTATTCGTGTAGATTGATATGTGAAATTTTTTTAGTTTACATCACGAACTCATTTTATCTAAGCGACCTTTGAAAACCAGGAAGGATTGTATAGCCGTTTGTCCTATCGTGAAACTCCTCAGCAATGTGCATTCAGAACCCCTCATATGTATATAGACCTCAGGAGCTGCATGATTTAAACCATGAAAATGTGCGTAATAGCAAAAAATTGACAATCTTTTCAAATTGTTAAACATTGGTCTGCCATAAATTTATGTTAGCCATTAACGCATTGCATTTACAAATAATGAATTTGAATAACTGATATTGTCCTGCAATTTCTCTTGTTGTGATGCTTAACATTTTTGAATGCTTTTAGTCATTTCGTTTTTGCAGAAATTATTTTGATGATTTTAGACGTTGAAGATTATTTTTATTGTAATTAAATATACGGCTAAATATAAACGTTTTAAGAGATAATTTAAGGATTTTGAGCAAACATTCCGAGCTCTGAGCTCAGATTCAATTGTTCAACATATTCTGGATACACAAGAAAAAATAGGCTGGGTGGCTCCAAGGCCTAAACTATTACTCCGAACTACGATCGCTCACTTGTGTTCGTAAACACATTATTAGTTCTAGACAGAAAGTACAAACTGCTATCTAAATGCTTTTGGCACAGTGTTAAAATTGCTATGCATGAATCATATTATTTGTCTAGCTAGCCTTTGGGCTAGCTTATCAATCGAAAATATTTGTACAAAAATTGTATGATAATTAGTTTTCTGAGTGTTTTACATACATGAAAATCTACCACCAAATTTGTCAATATCCAAATAATCTAAAAGATGATAATATTACACAAATTCAAAAGTAAACAGTTATCGAGGAGATAACTAAGCTCCTTTGTAACTGTCTAATGAGATGTAAATGCTTTAATGGTTTGAATTTTCACAAATAACATTGAGATTAACTTATACCACTAGAAAGGTTCATTTGAATCAGCGACGAAACTAGTTGCAAGGTCTGGTATGTATATATGACATCAATTCACACTAGTGTTTTTCAATATTTAGCTGCATTTTAACGCCAATCTACAGCGGAATATTGAGTAATCTGACTACGCAAAACTGCAGAAAACATTAGTTTTCTTTAATAAATCATCATTCGTCGTAAAATAACATAAAATGGCTTTAGTGGTAAAAATCAATACTATGGTAAAAATTTTAAAAGCGTTAAAATCAACAACGATCTATGGCCCAGGACTCGGGTTACATCTGTGCCCATATTTTCTGATGTTGAAAACTGTGAATCCGGAAATGCATGTTTTATAACAATAGCTTCATTAACCGTTTTCATATACTAACTACTAATGCTATTGATAAAATACTCACTTGTACTCTCAACGTTTCGACGTAATTAGTTCCGTAGGCGCGTCTTGTGAAGTCACAAAGGTTAAACTGAATTTGGTTCCATCCTTCATCCAAGCGCATTGGCATGGTACAAATAAAAGGTTTTACACGAGTGGTACTCTGATAGTTGCTAGCTCGAAATCTCCGCCTAATTTTCTTATCATCTAAAATCTGGGGAAAAGAGTCAGTATGAAACACTCGTTTTACAAACCAAGACTTCAAAGGTGAAATATTTCTTTAGATTTTTAATAATCATCACAAGGAATGGTAACTTAATGCCTAAACTTCGCTTAGGCTCCGCCGGACAAGTGATGAATGTGGTGCTGAAATCAATGAACGAATTTGAAAGGAAAAGCACCTGACGTTAGTTCCCATCAGCTCTAACACAAGTGACTGTATATCATTGTCTGTTATTCTTTTTATATGTCCATTCATTACCTAGATACCTTCATGAGTTAGAAATTTTAAACTACGCTTTTATCCCATATCTGGAGAGGTTTACTGCCAACACTATAAAGTATTGAAAGAAATCCACTTTGAAATGTATTCTTGAACATTTTCACTCCGACGGCGAGTTTTACAAACACCCTTTAAAAACGTTGTTTATAGCAACAAATAAATTCACCTATTTAAACAAAATACGGCTCCAGTTTCAGTTTTAAAAAGAAAGGATGTTTGTTGGTCTTTTTTGGTCTTGATAATGATGTTCTCTCAGTTGACTGAGTTTTCTTTTAAGAAAGTGGACAGATAGAGTTTCAATCATGTGTTGCGATAATGAATTCCACTCTTTGATGATTCAATGGGAATGTCGATAGTCAGCTGACAAGTATTTTGTTCTGAGCCTCTGAACCATTTTGGAGTCTCCTCGTAAATTCTCTGTCTCAGGAGACGAAATAACGAGGTTACATCTTGATCAAATTTCTCACTAAGTAATAATACGCTAATCGGGTCATCGCCAGTTCTTCGATATGACAACAGGAACAAGTTTATTTTAGCCAGTCGACCATCATACAGGAGTCAGCTTAGATTCTGTTCTCTGAACGTTTTTTCAAAACCTTACTGTCTTTTTTAAGCAGGGGCTAGCGGCTTGCATTCAATACTCGACTTTAGGACGCACGTTTACTGCACACTAGGTCAAAAAAGTTTTAGCGTCCACATGACTAAAGAATATACGTATTGTCCATGGGGTTCCAAAACCTTTGGCAGCTATCGTACGGCAGTGTCCAGGGGTTTTTAAGTCTTGGCTAGCAGTGACTTAAGTCATTGTGTATTTGGACAACAAGTAGCTCAATGTTATTCATCAAGTATGTATCTTTGGTGACATCGAACCCTAAGCACACAATCCTCTAAGCTGAACACGAGACACCTGGGAAACTAGATATTCAACATTTAACACGGAGAAAAAACCAACGATGGAGGAGTCGGGAGGAAGGAATCCAGTGATTCAATTGCTCAATCGGATGGCATGGCTTGGCCATGCAGGTGTGGTCACTCTTGAGTGTTGTCTTATATCTTTTATTCATATTAAATATGTTGCTCTTTATCTGGCCTAACCTTGTCCTCCATCATGTATTGGCAGTTGTCACGATGCACTGAGTTGGTGTAGATGATAATGTGACTTCCACGTAAGATTTTACAGATTACGTAGTTACATCATGACAAGCTTAAAACTAAGTCTATCATTAGAGTACTACTAATAATGAAGCAGACCATAATTCTACATTGGTAAGCCCGACTAAAGAAACGCAGCCTATTACTACTATTCCTTATTTCTACTTTAACTTTCTCAATCGACTTTTACTTACTGGTGATAACTTGAGGGCGCGCGCTACGGACTGGACGTTACTTTCAGGCCGAGGCCTTCAGTTTTCTTTTTCTGGGATTCTCGCAGAGCTGGATGGGTTATTTTTTCTTAAAATTATGGAAGATAACTCAGTTCTGAAATATCAATCTGTAAACTGTGAATTTTGTGCTATATGATAAGATCTGAGTTTAACTTATTCATGGCATTTATACAATAATTCATAATCATACAGCTACATATATTCATTTGGCTATACGATCAAACCATGCTCTATCATTTTAAAACCATATATAATCATATTCGACGAAGAAATGCATTTCACATCTGTATTCTATTCCTTAGGGAATATATGGTTATGTCGTGTTTGGATGCTTTAACCCACGTACTTTATGTATCTACATGATCTATTCAAACCTCTACCTGATATATAATCGTGTGTGTTCAACTACCGTACTCACTATTTTATGAACTATCATTTAAATCGTATTTGGATACTATAAATTATTTCATTTCCGAAATTACCTGTTCATTTCGGTGAGTCTGTCATAGTCTTTTTGACAGTATTTCTATCCAAAAAGCTGTTTTATATATTTGCTCATAAAGCAACATAATAATTTTAGACAGTAATCATCTCTTAAACTACTCATCTCTGCACCTCCCAATTTTTACCAATGCGGACTTTCAGTTTACATATGTGTCACGTACCGTGCTCACTTTGATTGTTTGATACTAATTATAGACATTTCTAAATCATTTTATTATATTGTTGAGTCGGCTTTCGGAGAACTTCAGCGGAGCCTCCAGAGGCCCAAAAGGAGACGAAGAGTCCTAGCCAGTCAGAGCATGATGAAGCATTCTAGAATTCCAACGTGGCGTGTTACTATTGGTAAGTAGCATGATATGTCGTTAATGGACTGGCCGAAATATGATGTTGATTTAACAAACGTTAACATCTATAAATACCCATCTTTTCTGTACAGAAAACGAACCTTGGAGTTAAGTGTTTCTCCCATACTTTGCATCTTCTTTCTGGTGTTCAGGTCGTTTTATAGTTCTAGCTTGCGGGTTTGTAGTGGCATTGGCCCATAACCACACAATCTTCAAAACTGAACACAAGACTACTCGGAAAACAGATATTCAACATTTAACGCTGAGGAATACCTAACGATGGAAAAGGCGGGAACACTGAATTGAATGAATTGGAGTTGATCGGATGGCATATAATGTTCTTTCTCTAGTCTAGGCTTGTTCTTCATCATGCATTGGTAGTTGTTACGATACAGTGAGTTGGTGTAGACGATGATGTGACTTCCACGTAAGATCTTATAGATTAGGCAGTTATATCATGACAAATCTACAATTTTAGGATTAGGTCTATTAGAGTATTACTAATATAATAGTAGACCATAGTTCTACAGGTTATTAGAATAGCTTGGGAACGAATATAGCGTCAAAATCAGCAAGGCATAACATATATAAGGCTATCTTTCGTGTAATATATATGTTATAATTTACACAACGTCCTCCTTTATGTTCTATTTGCATCCACACAGATACTGACATAAATACCTCATCTCCACTACTATCTTCCTGTCATTCTCATCTCTTGTTTTTGACACCTTTACTAATCCTCACGATACATTCACTCTTGGTTAAAACACAGGTTTTGACTTCCAGACTAATTTGAGCCCTCGGAATCGATGTTTTTTACCCATTTCTATTTCCAACATTCTGTTCAATCCATCTGCTATACGTCGCTTTCCTATCATGCCACAAAAGAGAATGAATACATCTGCTTTTAGGCGTCCAGCCAAACGTAGGAAAATTACACAATCTAACACTTCTACTGGCACGATTTCCGACAGTTTGAACGAGACGAGCTACTCCGTTCATCCGGAAGCAGACAAGCTTTTACCAGTTGTTTCCATTCCAGACATGTTGAGAACTCTGTTGATAAACAGTGATGGTAATCGCAACTACAACCATATGGGTGATATAAAAAAGTCGCAAGTAGACATGAACATTCTCAATCTGCTTAAATATCTCATTAACCCCAACCTCACAGAGACTCCAGATCAAATGAATGACAGAAATAATTTCTTAGATCGTGTTACATCAGAGGTATTTAAAAGAATAAGACAATCTAGTAGTGCAATTGTGTTTAATATACCGGACACATATGCCCTTAAAAATATCAAATCTAGTCTGCTTGGAACCAACAATATGACACACGTACCATGTGTATACACAAGAATAAAATGAAGTCATCCTGGTGTGCACTCACCGATTTTGTTCAAATTCAACTCATTTTTAGACACCAGTGAGTATTTAACTTTCTCAAATTCATTGATAGAAAAACAGATTTTAGGATTCTTCCAGGATATTAGGATATTAGGATTCTTCCAGGCAGAACACCATGCCAGCGAAACGCAGGAAGAGATAGCTACAGACCACCAGCGTCAAACTCCAAAACGCATCATAATCCTAATGGTCGTAAAAGTAAGTCCGATTCTAAGAGGACGTACAAGTATGCCACCACTGAAAAACTCTTCGGAATCTCCTCAAATTCAAAACCCAGTAGAAAGTAATCCCGATGTAGGTGGTATCCATTCTCTTAAGAATGTTGACTTAGATTCAACCCGAAGTAGTTGTGCTGATGACAAATGGGATAACACAGTCCAAATCCCTGCTAGTGCAACACCCAGTCACAGTAACTGTGCAACGGATAACTGGAAAACTGATCATTACATTTATGTAACTGACCACGCACTTAACGTCGATATATTCTAACCTCGCAATCCATCGCAAGTATGTTTAACAGCACACAATTCTCCCCAAATTAAGAGGAAGACAAAATTAACCACAAACCTTGGAAATAAACATCTGGAACATGTTATCCATACGTCAGGTATAACTAGTAATCTGAATTGCAAATAGCCACTTGGTCGCACACATAGAACTTAGAGCCTTCTTGCTCCGGCTCCCGATATGTACACTATGCCTTTATCAGATGTTATATCCAATAGCAACGAGAAGATTTTCTTTGTAATTCCGCCGGCTTTCTGCCGGCAACGATAAACATATTTCAGTTGATGACAAAGTGGTTGAATCTATTTCCCCTGACAACACAACTCTTACCTTAGCCAATCCTACGAGTATTCATGGAACTACCAATTGCGATTTATACTCCAACCTGCTTCACTATGATAACACTGAGTTTCTTATTCTTTCGTTCAATGCCCCCTCTCTGTCCAATAAAATTATTCATCTTAAAACCCATTTATTCTTTGTGAATTCGACCATTGTACTTATAACGGAAACGTGGTGCAATTCATCTATGTCCGATCACTCCTTGAATGCAGATAACTATGTTTGCTTTAGAACCTATAGACGTTATGGATTAGGAGGCGATACAATTATCGATGTCCGTTCAGACATTCAGGTGTAAAAATTTGAGGATAAATCTCTTGATGCTATAGACGACTCCACATGGGTTACTGTAAACTGTGGATCCCAAAATTATTTACTGGTGGGATGCATATATAGACCACCTCATGCGGATACCAAGTTTGACAGATTACTAACAAACATCTTTTCCATTGCTTCACATCATCCACATACTTTTAAAATCATCGAAGGTGATTTTAATCTGCCAAAAATTACATGGGGTTCGACTCCGGTACCAGGTCGATATAACAAGCCAGTTGAAATACTAGAAATTTGTAGAAGGGTTCAACAGGTTCGAAAACCGACTAGGGAGAATAACATACTTGATTTATTGTTTATAATCAACATAGACTCTGTAGAATTATGGTCT